CTCAAAATTAGAAGTACAAACGGACTATTTCAATTGATGCACAATAATTTTGCATGTAGATTCGTTGAAAGCATCAGACAGTTAACTTTTTTATTGTTTACTCCTACCTATAAAGGAAGAATCACCTTCAAGATCCATATATCCATAGACCAATGGATTTACAGACTTATTACTGTTCACTCCTACCTATATAAGAATCACCTTCAAGATTCATGGACCAATGGATCGACAGACTTATTACCGTTCACTCCTACCTGTAAAAGGAAAAATCACCTTCAAGATTCATGGACCAGTGGATTGACAGACTTATTACTGTTGATTCCTACCAATAAAGGAAAAATTCGTAAGGGTTCCGCGGAACCCAGTGTCTCGCCTACTTTTGCTGTTAATCGCAGGCTCAACAAAAATGAGGAAAAAAATTAATAAGAATATTCCACTCTATACTATCTTTTGATTGTAAGTAGCTTCTGTCCAAGTTTGGTAGAAATCCAGGATAGTTTATGAATCTAATAAATGTTTTAAAAACTTTAACTGCAGACTGTATGTAATGTTAACTGGAAGAAAAACTAAGTCCATTTATAAGTAAAATACGGAAAAAATGGAACAAAATTGTAACAAAATTTCCTTCTAGATACTAGCTTTTAATCATAAACAAGCTTCTGTCCAAGTTTGGTACAAATCCAGGATAGTTTAAGAAAGTTGTTAAAATTTTAAAAACTTTAACCACAGAGTGAATGTTATGTTAACTGGAAGAATTAAAGCACTGTAAGCGCTGTAGGCAGTTAACCAAAAACCAAGGCAAACGTAATTATGAAAACTGTGGCAGTGTTGCTTCAATTTTTTTTTAATACTTGAAAGAACAAACATTAAACATTCGTATATTGTACATTTATGTTCATTAAATGAATTGATTATTAAGGCAAATCAATTAATATTTCATCAAGGTTTTCAAAAGCAACTCATATATCAATGTAAATGACCCCCATCTTCACCCCCAAGTGCATGATGTTACTCCATACCAAGTTTGGAATAAAATGACAGGTGATTATAAAACAGTTGGTCAAACATTCTCGGGCTTTACACTGCTTGCAAGATTTATGTTTTCTTTAAAATGAGCCATAAATGAAAATTATTATAGGCCCAGAAATAATTTAATAAATAATTAAAGTAAATTCAATTAACCTAGACTCATTGTTTGCATCAATAAAATTTTATAATAAACAAGAATTAATTGTAACAGGATGCCGTTACGAAGTCTCCCAAACAAAGCCCCCATAATTCGTCATTCCCATGGTCTCCTGACATTGGGCAAAGTCCAGTTCATATTGGTTTGGTCTAGTAAAGTGATATGCATATGTGACACCTAGGATATTGACCCTGTATGTCATTCAAATCTTTTTGAAATGATTAACAGGAATAAATATGGTTTAGGTGTGGGTATCTCGACCGTTTACAAGTTCTCAAACAGGAGGGGGTGGGGTGACCCCAGGGACTCCCCCTATATTTCATTTGATTTGTTATATTGTCCCATACATGAATACATATGGTTTAGGGGTGGGGATCTCGACCATTTCCAAATTCTCAAACAAGAGGGGTGGGTGACCCCAGGGACTCCCCAAATATTTCATTTGATTTGTTATATTGTCCCATACATGAATATATATGGTTTAGGGGTGGGGATCTTGACTGTTTACAAGTTCTCAAACAGGAGGGGATGGGTGTCCCCAGGGACTCCCCCTATATTTCATTTGATTTGTTTTATTGTCCCATACATGAATGTATATGGTTTAGGGGTGGGGATCTTAACCATTTCCAAGTTCTCAAACAGGAGGGGTTGGGGTGACTCCAGGGACTCCCCATATATTTCATTTGATTTGTTAAATTGTCCCATACATGAATATTTATGGTTTAGGGGTGGGGATCTCGACCGTTTACAAGTTCTCAAACAACAGGGGGTGGGATGACCCCAGGGACTCCCCCTATATTTCATTTGATTTGTTATATTGTCCAATACATGAATATATATGGTTTAGGTGTGTGGATCTCGACCATTTCCAAGTTCTCAAACAGGAGGGGGTGGGTCGACACCCGGGACTCCCCTAAATTATTTTCATTTGATTTCTTTTATTGTCCCATACAAGTATATATATTGTTTAGGGGTGGGGATCGCGACGGTTTACAAGATAAAAGTACATTTTCAAATTGAAGAGGGTTGTGATGACCCCTAGGGACTCGTCCTATATTTTGGTTGAATTTTTTTATAGTCCTGTTCTCATTACTGAAGACTGCATGTGTCTATCACTTACTGTTTTCGAGAAATAGTCATTTGAAAATTTAAAAAAATAAAATTCCATAGGGTTCTATAGTAAACTCCTCCCTTCTTCAGGCCCCTCCCAATACCCCTAAATAGACCCGAATGCACAAACAAAAGATTAATGGCTCCGCTAGACATGTTAGTCTAATATTTTATGAAACCCTAAGTAAATCTGACAAACGGTCAAAGTTGTCTTCTTAGACGATTTGAGTGGATTCGGTCCGACTTGTCTCGGGGACGAGTTGTCCACATTACTTAAAACATCCCATCAACGTCGATTTCCGCATCTGTTTCATGACCTCGTTTCATTCATAAAATAACAACAACCTTATTTGGCAATATGGTTAAAAATTACCGCCCACTTATATAACTTTATTTCCTCTATCATAGAGATTTGTTGTACATGAACAATATTCCTGCGCATTTTGCGCTTTGGGAAATATAAACGACTTGTAATTACCGATTTTCGGCGATGAAATATTTCATACAATTGTTCTGTGACATCGTAGCCAAAAGCACAGGGGATAATAAACTACGTACGGATTTCTATTGAGCACTACTTCCTATGTGCAACTTCAAAAGTTTTGGGTAGTTCGACGATCATTTACGGTTTTTCTGGTCATATTTTTTGTATTCCAGAAATAAAAGTATTAAAAAAATGTCCAATTAGTTATAAATAACATAATAGCCAGCTAGATAATAACAATGGCACGTATTTCAGCATTTATTGGGTAGAACACAAATCTAGGGTGCTCGCATATATAAGGCAGCTTAACTGCCTAAAAATTAAGTCCATTTATAAGTAAAATACGGAAAAAACGGATTTTTTTTTTACAAAATTTACTTCTGGATACTATCTTATGATCATAAACAAGCTTCTTTCCAAGTTTGGTAGAAATCCAGGATAGTTCAAGAAAGTTATTAAAATTTCTAAAACTTTAACCACAGAGTGAATGTAATGTTTCCTGGCAGAAAAACTAAGTCCATTTATAAGTATAATACGGAAAAAATGGATTTTTTTTTTAAAAAATTTACTTCTGAATACTATCTTATGATCATAAACAAGCTTCTTTCCAAGTTTGGTAGAAATCCAGGATAGTTTAAGAAAGTTATTAAAATTTCAAAAACTTTTAACCAGAGTGAATGTAAGGTTTTCTGGCAGAAAAACTAAGTCCATTTATCAGTAAAATACAGAAAAAATGGATTTTTTTTTTTACAAAATTTACTTTTGAATATTATCTTATGATCATAATCAAACTTCTGTCCAAGTTTGGTAGAAATCCAGGATAGTTTAAGAAAGTTATTAAAATTTCAAAAACTTTAACCACAGAGTGAATATTTGTGGACACCGCCGACGCCGACGGAATGTAGGATTGCTATGTCTCACTTTTTCGACAAAAGTCGAAGGCTCGACAAAAATCACCTTCAAGATTCATGGGACAATGGATTGACACTTATTACTGTTCACTCCACCTATAATTACATCCCAACTCTTTTGTTCTATCAGGGGTGATCCGAGTCAGATCTTGAGTTTCTTTAGTTCTTTTGGCATTATGTTGAACACACAAATCTTGGAAATATTTGTGCAAAATTGACCCTTTCAAAATTTATGTAGAAAAAATAAATGGGGAATGTGTCCATGGGACACAGATGATGCCCCCGCTTGTATATAATGTTATCAAGTGACACAACTCAAAGTACTGTAACAGTGATGCTACCCAAATTTGTACTTGATCTGAGTTTTGTGGTAATAAGCTTAACTTAGCTTTGTGTATGTGTTTCATAACATTTAGTTGGGGCAAATTTAAGTTAAGAGAACGGAAAAAAAAAATCCAGCAATTTTTCCATTTGTAAAGGGGCATAACTCTAGAATGGTAAAATTGACGCCATCAAAATTAGAACTTGATCTGTATTTTGAGGTAATTAGCATTGTGCATAAGTTTCATAACATTTAGTTGAGGCAAACTAAAGTTAGAGAACGGAAACCAATTTTGGAACGTACGTAAGGACGGACAAGGGTAAAACTTAATGCCCCCTCCGGTACGGCGGGGGCATAAAAATCCACCAAATGTCCAGTGACTATGTGGGGAATCTAACTTGAGACCTTAAGCATATGAAGCCATGATTCATTACCCTACAACAGGACGACTGGATACAACCTCACTGTTAACATATTTAAGCACTGTATCCAAGGCTCATAAAGGGTATATACTATATAGTAATATAAAGTATATTATAATTATTGTATGGCATTCTGAACTATATATGTTATGAAGCGTAAATGTTTTTTCATATAGTCTAGAAGAGCTGGGGTGTAAAAAAGTTATCCAATTCGGACATGGTGTGTCAGTGTAAGATCACCCTCTGGCCTCCGGCCATCTGGGTGATTTTACACTGAAACACAACGTCCTCATGAGATAACTATTACAGAAAGAATCACCTTCACGATTCATAGACCAATGGAGTGACAGAATTATAACTGTTCACTCCTACCTATAATAGCTATATAGGAAGAATCACCTTCAAGTTTCATGGACCAATAGATTGACAGACAGACTTATAACTGTTCACTCCTACCTTTTAAGGAAGAATCACTTTCAAGATTCATAAACCAATTCATGGATTCACTGGCTAATTTCTATTTACTGGTACCTTTTATATGGTATAATACAACACCAAAGAAACATTCAATCAACAAGTTTATTTTGTTAGTACAACAGATCACAGACATTTAACAAATTGTGTTTAAATCAATCTGTCCTTTTACCAAATAATAACTGATATATCATGTAAACTGGAATGTACAAAATAACTATGTGATCTGACAAAAATTCTAATTAAATCAGTGAAATGAATTTTTATTGAATTTCGACAAAAAAAAACTGAAATTTTAAAAATCATAAATTCTGATCTATTTTTTTGAAATTTTGATAGAAAATAAAGAAAGAACAGAAAAATGTATGGTTTCATTCCAGTTTCTCAATTTATGGTATCAACATTCTTAAAAATCAAGATTATTTCTTATGCAGATGTACAATGGTTTCAATGTTGTTCAAATTCAAGCATAAATATTCCTACCAATAAAAATTACAATTTAAAACCATAACTTCTTTGTTGTTTCTATTTACAATAATGATACACCGACAAAAAACATCATCTTAATAATGGTTAATGTGACATTTACACCCCATTTAAAAATACCATTGACAATTCGTATCTTGATTGCACTTTGACAACTAACAAGAAATTTCTACTGCCTCAAATTATTCAACAGATGTTCTATTAAGCTATGAAACTAAGCTAGATAAAACATGTAAATGAAATTAACAATATCAAGTCAACTTGCTCAATCTTTTCTAGGGAATTAAAAGCCCAAAAGTACAATCTACTTATCTGTAATCAGTTAATTTCAATGGTATTTTTAAACAAGTTGTATTTAGAAATCCATGATGTATATAAATGGTTAAATGCTTTGTAATATTCACACAGAACTGACAATCAGATTAAAAATATTCTGAAACTTCTGATTATAAAATTTGTCATTAGCAATGCAACACAAAAGCAAAATATGAGAAATAGATCTAAATAGTTAATCCTGACATTCTTGACGCTGTCAGAGTATGATGTAATAATTGACTTTTTCAATGTTGATTTTTGCATATTTTAAGAACTAAATCTGAAACAAATGCTTCAGACAAGAGACTAATAAAGCAATGAAGAATTCAGCAACTGTAGCAACTAATTTGGCCATATGAGACTCGTTTAATATAGCACTTATCAATAACAAAGAAATAATATATATTTCAGCTTCATCAAGACCAATATACAATTTTTGATTTTTTGAATACATGTTTATCTACACAAGAAAATATCCTACAAGAGTTTGGGTTATAATATATCTAGAGTTGTTTCCCTTTACAATTTACAAGTCATCACACAGTTGTGTCCCTTAAATAGCATCAATATCAAAGTCATCTTCTTCTTGTTCAACTTTCTTTTCTTCCTTCACCTCTCCAACTTTACCAGAAGTGGAATACACAACCTGTTGTAAAACACAAAAGATTAACATATTACTCCATTTTGAAATGTAACATTACAGTTAACTACAGTGTACAGTACATTAAAAGGATAAAAGGAATAACCAAAAATATTGGACAGTACGACGACCATTGACTACTGTACAGTGCAATATACAGTTTGTAAAATTTGACTAACCAGTAATGAAAAACACGATTGTCAAAATTTTGCTTTGATTCTCTTGTGTTTAATACATTGGCATCCATTTTGACAAAAACGTCTAATATCTTTGTATTTTCTAATAGCAGTAATATAATTAAGTGTAAATGGCTAAGGATAAGATTGATTGATTGCTTTACATACAGTGGCAGCAAAGGATAACAACAAGGGTCTGAATCAAATATATAAAAAAGCATTGTTAAAATTGCTTTTAAAAAGTATTCATCTTTTTTTAGAAGAACATGTTTATTAATTTAAATTTTAGGATGGCAAATTCTCTCTCTTCTCTTTTTTTTTTTTTTTTTTTTTTAAAAGTGAATCCATTTTTATTCATGAGATAATAGCCTTATATATGCGTCTTGTATAAAATCACCAAATCGAATATCCATGAAAAAATAAATGAATCCACAGGGTAAAAAAAATACGCTTAATACTCTTTAATAATTCTTACCTCTACATTTTCATCATCTTCCTCCTCCTCTTCACTATCACTCTCCTCTTCCTCTGCCTCTTTTAACCACCTGATGAATGGCTGAGACTTGTTGTGGATTTCTTCTGCTAACTTTTTGTCAACATATTTTTTAGAAACCTGAAACAGTTACACTTTGCATTACAGTTTTGCATACATCTTATGTATTTCTAGAAAACTATTTCTGTTTTTATATCACACTATACAATAAAGCACCTTCTAGGAAAAACATTTCAGATTAAATTCAATATTGCAACCCTTACAATCGCTTTCTTTGGACATACATGTCTATATTTTCAATTTAAATTATCAAATAAACTGTTTAAAAATTACACAACAATAAATGCAAAAAATTTACCTTATCTCCCCAATCAATAAGGACCTTCTCATCAAGAATGTCAAAGTCATACAATGTCTTCAGTATATGTGGCATCTTAGGCAACAAATCATCTTTGTGAACTCCAACTAACTGTTCTAATCCTCCTAACAAGTACTTCTGGGCTTTGTCATTCTCATAACAAAACTGGAAATAGACAAAACAAATAATCACTCATCTATTTCAGTATTTAAGGATATACTTAGGTCAGGTTAAGGATTTTTTGTCAGATGTTCGGACTCCTTGGTTTTTTTCCTATGATACAGGGTAAAATATTTTAACCCATAACACCCATTTTTCTTTTCATATAAGACTTCAATAGCTCATAAAAGGTCATTCACCAAAATTTAAGCAGATTCTACATTTTTTTCGATTTGAGACCCAAATAATACCAAAGCAAATAGATGGTAAAAGTCTGAGTTAGCCTTTTCCCGCCATTTTTTTTTAAATCAAATATCTCAAAAAGGAGCTCCATAACCTATCAATATTTTTAGCTTTTTTGTTCCTTAACTAATGCTCTTCTGACCAAGGCTTCCAAAACGGTCATATATTCCGGACATTTGTATAATGTCCGGTAAAAGTCCGGCTGGGCAAAGCATGAAACGGTCATCTACTTTTTAGTTTTCAAGGCTTTCTTAAGAGACGGTCATTTTAACATAATTCGCGATCTTTTTGACCCAACCTTTTGCCTTTAACAGCCACACATTTCGAGTCATAAAAGTGACATGATCATTAAGTACTATCAAAACAACCCCTACTTTAATACCTTCTCATTTTAATCAAGGCTAATTAGTTGTCGAACAGCTGAAATTTACCTGTTCAGGTGACAGGTAAACTATTATGAACCGGACATTGATCAGTCTATTCAAAGTTATTTTCTTACATTTCAGCGGTTTGCATCTAATTAATTTAGTCAAAAAGATTTAAATTATCAGAAATACGTTTACAAATATGATTTGATGAAAAAATTAAAAAGGTGAAAATGAAAAAATCATCATAACCACGTTGTTTGAACCAGAGACATGTCTCTGTTTGAACTAGTACACGTGTGTGCATGTGCGCAGGTGTGAAATTTAATTATGCATCCTAATTTCTTCAAAAAATGCTTAAATTGTCATTGATACCTTTATCTCCACTTATTTCGAATATTTTCTTGAAGAAATAACGTAGAAAGAGCTACGTACACTCATTCATGCTTTGCAAACGTACACGGAATTTACGTATCCATCTCTGGTCCATGTTTTACCATTGTCAAGATAACATCCGGTATAAGATTTTAACGAATTCAAAGTTTTTGACAACGTTATTTTGCACAAATAAAGAGTTTAAGGCAGATATAAGTACGCTGATGTTGCACACTCCGAATGATGCACTGCCAATTTAACAGTTTACGTCAGAACTTTGAATTTGAATCAAAGAAAGTTTAATATCGTTTTTTTTAATGTCAATCATTGCCATTGGGATGGCCAACTCAGCAACTGAATACCATAATTGCCTTTTGTTTATTTAGTCTTAAGGGATTAAAATCGGGATAATATATAAAATGTCCGGCTGGCTAAAAATAATTTTGGAAGCCCTGCTTCTGACTTATATTATCAATTTTAAATTCTAATTTCACCTAAGTACATCCGTAAATAGCAATGGATGGACCTTTTTGGTAACATTTGTAACATTTGAATGGTCATATTATCTTCTATCTAGCGCAGACTTGTTTGTTTTACCACATTTTAATATATACTAACTCAGCATGCCTATAATATCATTATAAGGAATGGGCTAGTAATCAGTATATGGTATATGGGCAAGGTTTAAAAGGAAACTTTCACATATGAAAAGCTGTACTTATGAAAATTTGCAATATATAAACACATCAAATGGCAATTTTGCACTCCCTAAATTTTAGTTTTTTTTTTCAGTTAATGCGTTCAGACCAAGAGTGATTTACTGAACCACCTCTTTGCATAATTAATAGACAATAAATGAAAGTTTCATTCAACAGAATACATTTCACTATGCTGTACGGTTCTTTATACATACCTTGAGAAACAAAACTTTATACTGTTTCAGTTGTAGAATTATTTTGTTATTCAAAAGAAGTTCAACAAGAACCATGGTAGCCTTATCTTTGACTTCTAGTCTTTCTGCTTCACTGAATATATCCTTCATAGCTCCCACAACACCCTCACTGCTGTTAATTTTATTCTACAATACAAATAAATGATGTTTAGTTGATATCTATAAATTTGAACTAGTCTGAATTGCCTGATATTTTTTTTTCAGTTTGGAACACGATTTTTCCTTAACCCCTTCGCCCCCAATCCCGCCTGTAGTCATGATGGCGACCACCACTCTTTGATGGCCTGTATGACCCTCCATACTTTTTCAGAACTGCTCCAGCTCAACTGTCTTTACAGCAGGGACTTCAACCATGCAATTCATGGTCCATAAACTCTTCTCAGATGTGTGATTATGAAAATATGGCAACTTTAATGGCCTTTTTAGAGTTCAAAATCGGAAAAAACGTGAAAAGTAGCCAAAATCAGGTGGGGGTGGGAGTCTTTTAATGACCACTAAGTTACTGGTATGGGCTGTAGGTATCAACTAGTATCATAAATACATGCATAGACGGAACAGGAACACAAGGAGGTATAATATGGCCAAAAGAAATCTGGTCTGTAAAATCTAGGTCACCGTTTTGTCAGAAATCGGTAAAAACGGACATTTAGGCATACTTGGCTAGCCAATAATAACTCCCCAGCAAGATTCTCAAGTCACATTTACTTCCAGTCAGCATGGATAGATTGCTGTAACTGTAAGGTAATACTTGAATGACAAAGAAACACAGTTAAGTCATTGTTCACCTCTCAAGGTCGTATTAAAATAGAAAAATAGACTGAAAATGACCATTTTTCAGTAGGGGTGGGTTCAAACCCACCAGAAAATATTGGCTATTCTGATGACACGAGGTTCCACAATAAAGTGCACAGGTAAATTAAACAAAAACTTGATAAAAATCGTGTTTTCATGATCCTAGCTAAAAAATGTAATTATAAGTATTGAATGCTTCTTTTTGTAACTTTATAGGGTTGTAAAAGCGTTGACCGTGCGCACATTTTTAGAATGAAGCGCTTCTGCACTTCATACAAAATGTACTTCAGTCAACGCTTTTACACCCCAATGAAGTTACAAAAAGAAGCATTCAATTCTTAAGTGCAAACATATGTGTTTTGTTCCTACCTTTACAAAATGATAAAAGATATTGAGTCTTTCCTCAATAGTTTTTTCCAGATCATCAGTAAATGCCATCTGTTTGGCAGCTTCACTAAGTTCCTCCATTCTCTGTTTGACAGCATCTTCACTAAAGTCTTCTCCCCAATCTTCGTCATCCTCTTCCTCGTGATTCTAAAATAAAGATCAGGGGTTCAAATTAATATTAGGTACTGGAATGTCCAGGACCTTTCAAACTCCAAACTCAAAGGTCCACAACCTAATTCCCAGGTCCTACTTTTATATGAAATCATTTCATAACTCATAAACTCATCTCGTTTCTCATATAATGGACTCTCCAGCGTATAAACAGTTCACACCCTCCAATATTGAAGTACTGCTTACCAATATCAACACCATTTTAGCTATGGATTTCATGAACAAATTCAGTCACTGAAGGGTTTCCCTTTTTTTGCAAACTGTATGCAGTGTTGAAGAGAACTTTATATCTAAGACTATTTAACAGATCATGCTTACATTGCTGCTTGAGAAAACATTGTCCAAGTTTAGTGTCTGACAATAAATCTTTAGACTTAAAATTTGGGTCACTTTCATGGATCCACTGCTTTAAACAAGATAAATGCTGGGGTGTTACTTTAGCTATTTTGATTGGATCTATTTTAAGATTTTGTGTTACCCTTACAAGTGCACTTTCTTTTTTTGAACGGGTGGGGAACTTTTTGCAGTATGTACATGACATTAGACCAGTCAAAATATAGCCACGGTCGATCGATTTTCCAGAGGGGCTTAAATTTTTTTCCTGTTTTTCACGATCGTCTTTTGGTCTTTAGTCTTTCATGGTTCCGGAACCTCCTCGAAAGTGGAGTCAAGGGCGATCATTCTGTCAATGAGACTTGAATTTTCGCACGTTTCTCGCGATCACAACTTTTCTCCTTGTAAAAACTTTCATAGCTTCAATGTCGGACTTCTTTTGTTTAGCTACACCCGAAGTAGTCAGAATTTCACCTGCCTCACCCGTTTTTCTCTTAAAAGACGTGACGCCAAAGCGAAACAAACTCATGGTTTAGCAACGTTCGTTAATATGATGAACGCGGACCTCGACGAAAGCACCAATAAAAATTGTCATCTGATACGCTGTACTATTAATGAACCATGAAGTGGATCACGAAGTTGAAATAAAAATTTCAGCACAAAGCTTATTTATCGTGACTCATTACCACATCAATTTACGAGTTATAACAAAGTGTTTCATACAGAAGATCATCATATATGTTTTCTGAAACTTGAAAATCGAAAGTCCGTCGGGTGCAGCTAATAACCAAATTGGAAGTCGGACCGTAAATCTTATAGGTCCCAGACCTCGGACCACCGCTAATTTGAACCCCTGAAGATAGTTATTTGTTCATTTAAGTGATATCAACATATCTGCATTATAAAGCCTACAGGTTCCCAACAAGAAAGTTTGCAAGTAAAAATAAACATCTATACATATATTGCTTACATCCGTCATTTGGACTCAGGTGGATAGTTGTCTCATTGGCAATTTTATCACATCTCCTTATTTTTATAAGTAAGTAGTATGTTGTTTTCCATTTTTATTTACATCAGAGTTGACAGTTCAATCATCAGATTCATGTAGGGGAATCCAACATAAGTGTCTCATCATTTGTATATAGGCCAACAAAATATAAACATGTTTTTTGCCTCCTGGCAGTAATAATCTGGAGTCGGTTTCACAAAAATACTTACGACTAAAATTGTTCGTAAGTCATGAACAATTCAGTATACTTACGATCAATCTTAGTCGTAAGTTTTTTTGTGAAACTGACTCCTTGTATGTAGGAGGGTAAAATATATTTTTTTAAATAATCTATATAGACTATATACATGATATAGGGAAATGTTCTGAGCTTTTTAACAGTGCTTTACCTATATTGTCTATAACATGACCTTTTGTTTATCATTTTTAACAATGCCCCCTTAAAATGAAACGTGTGTAGATATGCCTTTACCAAACAGCTTCGTCACAAGTCCCAAGTTATCTGTCCAAGTTATACAGAACTACAGTAAAAGTGTCAACAAAATAAGCAAGTTTTTACTAACAATAGCCAAAAAGCATGAAATATGTTGATTAATTTTAGCATTTGGAAAAGAAAGGATAGATTGTAATGTTATTTTGGGCATTATACAAATGCTTACAAATTACCTTAATTATTGGAGCATCGATGATGCCACCACTAGCTCTTTGTGCAGCCATTTGTTCCTGGGCATTAGCTTCAGGACTTGCTCGATCATCATCTTTATCCTTATCAGATTTCTTACTCTTCTTCTTTTCTTTCTTACTAGCTTTAGTTGGAGTTGCTGCTGGATCCTATAAATATCAATACATAAATATAACATCACTTTGAACTTATACATCATTTTTTTCATGATTTCAAAATTCAGTTTTAAATAGGAACATGTATAACATATGTACATGTAAAGCACAGCTATGGTGAAGATTTTATCATCAGTTGTTAGGTACATACTTAGGTACAAACTAAATTGAAATGATAGAACAACAGCTTATCATCCAACCTTTCAATGGCATATTTGTCAAAAACTCCTCAATTCTAATTGGTGAACATATTTAGATTATATTTTTACCTGAAAAGGAGAGACGAAAGGTACTAAAGGAAAATTCAAACTCACAGTCGAAAAACAAACTGACAGTGCTGTGGCAATAAACAGAAAACGACAAAAAAACAAACAACATGAAAGGTTCTTGATGACAAAAAGGCATTATGTTATATACATGTTTGTCTCCATAAATTGTGTCATAATTTTTAGTAGCCTATATTCCTATCTTGAGAATTAATATGATAGGTGATAATAAATGTCAAAATCAAATGTGTAAATATAACTATAGAACTCTTGTTGATAAAAAGGTGTGAATTTCTATCAAAAATAAATGTGTAAATACTATTTCAATTTTAGTTTTACCATGTCTATAGAGCTCTTGTTGATAGAAAGGTGTGAATTTTTTTCAAAATTAAATGTGTACATAGTATTGTATTGTAGTCTGTCTGGAATATTTTTTATAATAAAACGTGTGAATTTTTGTCAAACTAAATGTGTAAAGAGTATTCCAATTACAGTCTTACCATATCTGATATATATTTTATGATAAAAGGTGTGAATTTTTGTCAAACTAAAGGTGTAGAGAGTATTCCAATTACAGTCTTACCATATCTGATATATATTTTATGATAAAAGGTGTGAATTTTTGTCAAACTAAAGGTGTAGAGAGTATTCCAATTACAGTCTTACCATATCTCATATATATTTTATGATAAAAGGTGTGAATTTTTGTCACACTAAATGTGTAATTAATAGTATTCCTATTGTAGTCTTTCTATATCTGGACTATTTTTATTATAAAAGGTGTGAATATTTGTCTAATGTCTCGAGTATTCCGATTGTAGGCTTAGGGTGTTCCCTTTCCACAGCTTTCTCCCCATGGCCTTATAGCACCATGGCACTATCTGAATATGTTTTATAATAGAATATGATGAAAGTTTTGCTATAATTTTAGAGAAATGGTGCTATTTTCAAACACCATGGTGCTACATGAAAATACTGGATAGATCCTTGCTTACCATATCTGGAGGATTCTTGATGATAAAAGGAGTTAATTTATGTCTCATATCAACCATTCCATTGTATCCACAGGCAATACATCTTTGTCCTATTGTCTGTTTTTTCTGGGACACACTCTAGAATAAAAAGTACAAGAGAAAATAAATACATTTTAAAGATAATTGCATCATGATGCAAGGTCAAAATTAAAAAAAGTCAAATGCTTATATTATATCCTATTTACAACCCCCCCCCCCCCCTCTTTTACAGAAAGAAAGAATTAAAAAATCCTATAACTACCGACTTAGTAAATTTATAATTTTCCCATTTTGCTTGTTTTTATCTGATAGCTGTAGCCTGTATTATTTCTTGACCCAACTAAATTTTCAAGTAATGAAATATACATACTGTTTTAAAGCTTTTGATACTTTTCTTAACAACTTAAATTTCCAGAGGTTTGTCGGACTATGGCAAAAATGCATGCTTTCAGATTGGTCTTTATGAGAGAAATAAATTATTACTTAAGATGGAGAGGACATTTTACAAAGACAGGTCAGATGGATCAAAATATTTTGACAGATTCAGCCAACTGTGGCTAAATATTCTATTTCCCTTGTGAATATTGAAAATTTGCACTTGACTACTTTTCAAAAATAAGAATAATCTTTTTAAATTCAAATTATATGCCCAATCCTGTGACTTCAATTTTAAACTCTATTTACAAGGATTTATCTTGTATACAAAACATAACTACTGATAGCATACCAATACAGTTTCTGGATTATGGCATTCTGGACACAAGACAAACTTCTTAATAAAGATATCCAATAGTTGTTGAAGTCTAGGAGAATCATGTGAGCCATTAACAATGAATCTGTCATTTTTCAAATCAACTTGAGTTTGAGCGCCAAGTTCACATCCAAAAAATTTGGTTGTATCTGAAATACAAATTTAAAATTGATATGAATAACATTATTTTCAAATAGAGATTATAATTTGTAAATTTTGAAATTCAAGATCAGGAATGTCTACAGACAAATTCAAACATTTCAAAATGATTTTATGAGAAATAATTCAAGTAACAAGCAAATAGGCAGTACTCCACCAAATTTTAGTGCTTATTCATGTATAAGATCAATGCTCCAAATTATATGAAACTCTCCTTTGTTGACTTTCATTTTTGCTTGAATTTTTAGGCCATAAAACTTTTTTCCCTTTCTTTTCAGTATAATAATATATATATTGCACAACTGGTACTTACATGTTGGTGGTCTTGATAAAGCCTTTGCAACTTCAGGCATGTTAACAATAACAGTTTTAATTCCATTCCCTTTCCCTTCGACCTACAAAATACAAAATGTATACCCTGAATAATGAAATACACATTGCATTGAACATAAAAATATCCAGTAAAACCTTCGACATTCATCCATGAGGATGTAGAAATTTAATACTGCAATTTGTTCTTAAAAGTTCCTTTTACGTGTCGAACTATGTTCCTAAGGTGCAGTCTCAATGGTCTGCTGAACCTGTTAAAATCATTTAATTTTGTTTAATTTATATTAGTCTGATGTACAGAATGTGTTTGTCAATATTCATTCTTAAAAGTTAAAAACTTACAAGTTTCCTCATATGTTTTTTGGTTCATTATATTGTATGCTCATCATTTATTTCTTGGGCCATGGAAAAATGAATGTTGAGTCCTTGACATGTAAAAACTATCAAAGCCCGGCAGGCAGGAAAAAACTTTTTATTTATTTATTTGTAAATCAGATTTGCTCTAGAGAATGTTGTTAACCGGACAAGAAATTCTTGTTTTACATTCTACATTGTAAAGTGTGGTATATAATTATATAAGCTATATGAAATAAACTGTTATCACAGAGATGTCTCGCCTTTTTGTAATTTTGATAATGCAAATGTTGAAATTAAAATAGCAATACTTTAACATGTAAGTTATGCAAATATTCAAAGTCGATGGATCATGACTGAAGGTACATGGCTAAACAATCTCCATGGAATGAGATGTGCCAATGCTAATACAACTGCATACCAAATACCATTGACTTATTATAAGTCGTTCCCTTTAAACAAACCTAAACACAACATTAACTTGTAAACTATGTAAAAGATTCAAAGTCAATGAACCATGATCAGGGGTGGAGCTATACAATCTCCATGGAAACGATACTTGCAAATGCCAATAAATTTGCATACTAAATATCATTGACTTAACATTAGCAGTTCATCTTAAACTGATCTAATCACAAACTAATACATGTAAACTAAGCAAAAGTTTCAAAGTAAATAGACCATGACTGAGGGGGGCGGAGCAAAATATTCTCCACGGAAATGAGATGTTCTAATGCTTATACAACTGAAAACCAATTAAAATTGGCCTACCACTAATGGTTCCCCTTGAACTGACCTAATCACAAACTAATACATGTTAACTTAGCAAAATTTTCAAAGTCTATAGACCATGACTAAGGGGGCGGATCCAAATAATCTCCATAGAAATGAGATAAGCCAATGCTTATACAACTGCATACCAAATATCATCAACCTACCAGTAGTGGTTCCCCATAAATTGACCTAATCACCAACTAATACATGTAAACTATGAAAAGTTTCAAAGTCAATAGACCTTGACTGAGGGGGCGGGACCAAATAATCTCCATGGTAATGAGATGTGCCAATGCTAATACAACTGCATACCAAATATCATTGACCTACCACTAGTGGTTCACCATGAACTAGACCTAATCACAAACTAATACATTGTTGACACCGTCGCCGACGCCGGAAACAGCATACCTATGTCTTGCTTTTTGACTCCGTCAAGGCGAGACAAAAAGCATCATTGGAAATTGTGAAAAGAAACCAGAGTAACCATTTTTTTTCATCTGCAAAAACTTTTTTTTTTAAATATGAAATAAACTGCTTTGCCGAGCACAGCTGGATACGACCGCAGAGGTCCAACCCTGAACAGTTGGGGCAAAATTTGGACACAATATTCAAGCTTGATACAGGTCTGAATTTGGATTGTAATTAAATATTTGACACATTATAGGTTTCTGACACAGAATAAATGTAGTCAAAGAACTTGAAATTGGTTATATGATTTGAATTTATATTCAAATGAAGATTTCTTGCTGTTGTGCAATACACTGTGCTGTTGCGCAATACTTAGTAAATCTGTTTTCAGACTATATACAAAGAAATGGCAAAATAAATTGTGACCCCCAATTTTTCTTTTGGAAAATTGATAATTTCTTAAATCTTGAGGAAAAAAAATTGACCCCCCCTCCAAAAAAAATAATATTTGAAGAAATTTTCTTTTAGTAAAATGTGGTACAATTTAAGACATGCATACACTTAAACACAGTTATTGTCTGATACCTAGAAAAATGCTTGTTTTGGCCCCTAATTCCTGAACAGTTTGGGCAATTACCCCCAAAATGAATCCCAACATTCTACTTGTGGTATTGAACCTTGTGGTACAATTTCAGAGCAATCAAAATACTAATACACAAGTCATTGTCCTGAAACTAGAAAAATGCTTGTTTTGGGCCCTAATTCCTAAACGGTTGGGACCATCACCCCCAAAAACAATCCCAACCTTCCTTTCGTGGTATTGAACCATTTGGTTAAATTTCAGAGATCCATACACTTAAAGTTATTGTCCGGAAACCAAATGTCTTCGGACGACGACGTGATAGCAATATATGACAAATTTTTCACGGTTGTATAAAAACCACAGATTGACAAGTTTTGGTCATGTAAAGCCTATAACAATTTGATACAATCCAGTTTCATTGTCAAGTGTTTCTTTACCTTGGCTATGATCCTAGGCATCTTATAACGGTAGAACGGGTCACTGATGTCGCTGTTGATGTTGATACTAGCCATGATGATATTAAATCTTTTATACTGTGTTTACCACTCCCCGTATAATATAAATGACAACAAAATCTTTGGAAATTCATAAAACTCAATAAGTGACTAATAGTCCGATCGTGTTCTTGTGGTTCAATTCTTCTCGAGTGCCACGGCAATGGCCCTGAAAAAATTGTGAAGAAAATGCATAAATCAACCAAAGCGAAATAAGAGAGGTTCTGATCAAGGTTTGGATAGTATTTTATAATACAGCTGTCAATATTGCAAATCTTGTGTTATAAAGCATTTCTCAGTAATCGAGTCCGTCTGACAAAAAGAGTTAAGTCAAGATTGCTCAGCAAGATAATTTCAAAGTGCTTTCCACAATAGTTTGACACTAAATTTCAATTGATTGATGACTCTGCAATGTCATAGGGGATGGAATTTCACACCTGACCAGGACGATTGAAAATGAACTTCTGATAAAAAAAGAAGAATTGTTTTCAGTTACCTACAATGAAAGACTTACTCCTTAATAACAAAAAAGAGGTGTTTTTTTGTATCATGTTTATAGAAAGGCCCTTATATGAGCCTAATAGTACTAGATCAACACACTTAGTTGGATGATTAAAACAAGCTAGCTAAAAAAGTCTGCAGAAAGATAAACATGTATCACTCAAAAATATGAATAATTTTTTTAGACACCCTACCATACTTGATGTAAGAGCAGCAAATACCAATTTGAAAGTCTTCAGTTAAATTGTACATCCTGGTGGGACTCATACCACAACTTCCTACACATAAGACAACTCTCCTCCAAAGATACATGTATGTCTCTTGACAATATAAAGTGGAACACATTATAAAATAAAATAAAGTATCCATTTAACAATTTTTCAACTTCTCTAAAGTGATTTGTTGGTAGGAAATCCACATGCAGCAAGCCTACTCCATGAAATAAATATAAATCAGTGTTCCAGCTTGAATCTCAGGGCAGAAGGGTGCTAGTTGTCTGAAAGGGCACTTTAGCGTTATAACCCAGATTTCAAGGGCAATGTTGGACAGTGTATTAAATTACCTTGAATATTGCTAGACTCAGCTGGAGAACATTAGTTGTATTTAAACCATATTCAGAAATTAATGTGTTCTTGATGTTGGTTCCAGTAAGAATTTTTTTCCATCAAATTATCATACCATGAAGCAAAGCATATCATTTTGATGTTAGGGAGCTACCATTTGATTTTTATGGGGGGGGGGGGGGGGGGGGGGGGCTAGGATGAAATTTGAAAAAAATAGGCAGGACAGGAGTTTCGAGTAAAAAAATAGGCAGGATGAGATTATTTGCAAAAAAAAAGGCAGGATGACAATTTATGTAAAAAAAAAAGTCAGGATAAACTAAAAAAAGAGGCAGGACCGAAAAGAGTGAAAAATAAAAATGAACCTTATATTTTATTCCATGGGTTGCCATATGGAACTTTTCCATCAAGGTAATGTTGCCAATCAAAAGTGTCATTGTATTATAAAACAATAATTTAATGTATGGAATGGGAATTGACTTATCTACATTTCCCATGTTTCACACTAAATAGTTAATTAGACCAACAAAAATTTTGTTCAAGTACATTACTCAGCAATCATTAATTAAACAAACATCTTGATCAGTCTTGGTGATAATGAAATAAAACAAAACAAAATTCCAAATGTTTAATTATAAAACAATGTGGTGAGCTGAAAATAAAAATTAGATACATTTTGTACTCCATATTATTTCAAGGTAAAATATGGTTTTCACAAGGTCTTGCTGTCTGCTACGTGTCAGCCAATCCCATCCCATAATCGGCCCACGTGTTACACGACTGTACAGTATGGCGCAATATTGTGACATCTCACCAACTTTCTGTTTCAATAAAATAATCAAATACATGATGAACCTCAAAATTATTTAAAATAAACTTACTGTCTAGGCGCAAAAACTTCATACGACTAATGATTGCTGAGGTAATGAAAATCTGGCGTTTTGCCTGGGAACTAGTAACTCCCAAATATGTCAGCAAAATTTCCGTTAATCTGCTTCCCGTGGAATACCAGAATCTGAAAAACAAAAGAAAACAATGTAAAGTTTATGTTGAAGAATAATGAGTATCAAAGAATAACACATTCCAATGTTTTTGATGAAAATTTGTTCCTAGACCACAACCGACCTTCAGTAAGTTCTGGTTGCGCTGATAATGAAATACCCGGATGTCGTTGATGTAATGTGTTCGACTGGTATTTATTGAATTATCTACAGAGCTGAGAACACAGTTTTAAAGATGTTGGTACCAGATCTTAAGTCGAAAGAATGTGGTCTGATTAAAGGAAAGATTTTTTTATCGTTTAAGAATTTTTAAGAAGGGGGAGGGACTTATGTCACATATCAGGATGCTTTAATACAATAATTCTATGATACAACACGAGAAGTTTATTTTTTATATCGATTCAGGAACAGCTAGAAGGGATCTATGTTCGGAGGTATTAATCGGAACAGAGACTCTGATTAATAGAATAGTAAGATGCACATTTTAATTTTTATAAAACCCCGCATGAGCATTCTCAGTGACGTCAGGTCAATGTTTGCATGCGTCTGCACTAAACAAATTGAAATGTACAGTATAATAAAGTTGAAAGGACTCGTGAGTTTTACAATATTGTATCTTTATATTATTTATTTTTAAATTAGGGTCTATTTTTAACTTGGATAAACAATTAAGTCACTGTCTTGTATTACAACCTTAACAGGAATCAGAGACATATTATATGTCTCTGCAGGAATTATCTGATTATAAATATTTATATTTAATTGCTGTGTACGGTGGTGCCAATGTTAATTTGAAAGTACAGTGTAATTTAGTTTTATTAGTGTTCGTATAAAAATATATATCTATATTTGAATCGGATACAATTTACTTTTAAAATCGATTAATTATATATAAATGTCACTAATAAAGCCTGTAAAAGGAATTATTCGAGCATTGATATTTATATTTAACAACATATTATCAAATGCCATTTCCCAATCTATCAAGGACCATGAACATCAGTAGAAGTGAAAATCGTCAATATAAAACCTAACCCTAGTTTTGTCATCAGTAACAACATATTAAAATTTTGAAAGCATTGACTGAACTGTTCATAAGTTATTGCACGGAAACGACATACAGTGTCATTTTCCAATTTTTCAAAGACTATATATATATCGTAAAAATCTTCGATATCGAACTTGACCTACATTTTGTCATTTGTATCAACATATTGAAATTTAAAAAAAACATCAGCTAGTTGAACGGTTCATAAGTTATTGCACGGAAACTATTGGCAGCTGCCTACCAACCCGACGTACTTCAACATTTTAATGTAATAACTGGATTTTTTTTCTCCGGAAAACCAGGTAAAGAATCAGTTTCAGTTTAAAGGGCTTGTTTTATCAGATCGGTACTGAGCACAAAAACAACCAACAAAAAGATAAAAGAAACAAAGTACCGATCTTAGAGTATTCGAAGTTACTACATGAAAGCTTATTCAAAGTTCGATTTCAAATTATATATAAGGATCTCAAGGGGACTTTTTATTTAAAGAAACGATACTCTTCTTTAGCTGCTGGTTGTTAAAAGTCAGAAAAATGACAGATACATAGGAAAGATGGATTGATCAGATGGTCATCAGTGACGCAAACACTTCTACAACGATTAATAATTTATGAAACAAGACAGTCAACCTCACTAACGGTGCATTAACAATGCCGCAGTATTTGCACCACTTATTGTATCACTACTTGTTGAAGGTTTGTCTTGTTCACACATTACAATTGTATACACGTATCTGCAAACACTAGGGGATCCTTTTTTTCGATTGAGGATTTTTTTTTACAATAAATGTTCTGACATCGGACTCAGACTTCTTTTAAACTGAGTTTTACTGTGCGTATTGCTGTGTGTTTGTTAATTCTACATTGGCTTGAGGTATAGGGGAGGCTTGAGATCTTACAAAACATGTTTAACCCCGCCGCATTTTGCGCCTGTCCCAAGTCAGGAGCCTCTGGCCTTTGTTAGTCTTGAATGTTTTTTTAATTTTAGTTCATTTATATGTTTTGGAGTTTAGTGTGTCGTCCATTTTCATTGAACTAGTACACATTTTGGTTTAGGGGCCAACTGAAGCCCGCCTCTGGGTGCGGGATTTTCTCGCTGTGTTGAAGACCCATTGGTGGCCTTCGGCTGTTTTCTGCTCTTTGGTCGGGTTGTTGTCTCTTTGACACATTCCCCATTTCCATTCTCAATTTTGACATTGTTCAATGACCTTATTGAAACGTATAGCATTTTTTTTTCAATAACTTAAGGCAGTTATTATTTTGCCGGATCCGGCAAAATAGCGATTTCTAAAGAGTTTTGCTATTTTGCCGGTCTTCATTCCGATTTTAGTAAATTAATAAGAATAGAAAGAAAAAAAGAAACATACACTTTACTAAGAAATCTTTAATAAAAAAAAGAAATGTTTTCTTTAAAAAATCATATACATGACATGCATAACCAAAGCATGCATAACAAAATTGATATTCTAATTAAATGATATCATATAATAGATATAAGAAGATGTGGTATGAGTGCCAATGAGACAACTCTCCATCCAAGTCAAAATTTATAAAAGTAAACCATAATAGGTCAAAGTACGGTCTTCAACACGGAGCATTGGCTCACACCGAAAAGCAAGCTATAAAGGACCCCAAAATTTACTAGTGTAAAACCATTCAAACGGGGAAACCAACGGTCTAATCTATATAAAAAACGAGAAACGAGAAACACTTATGAACCACATCAACAAACGACAACTACTGAACATCAGATTCCTGACATAGGTTTAAACGTTTTAATGGTACCAAACCTTCACCCTTATCTGAAACAATAGTGTAACATCACAACATAGAAAGACACACTATAAAATATCAATTGAAATGGCTTAACTCAATCAAAAGACATATTAACACCAGTGAACATACACTGAACAAATAAATTTGATCTATGATACAATGTAAATACAAAATATATAAACTAAGGGAAGAATATTTAAAGTAACATGTTATACCGCTGTGAAATGTTAAAAATTTAAGAAAAACAATATGCTTGAACAAAAATATCAGCCATTTGCAATTACTTTAAACACAGGTAAATGAAAACAATTTTGTTGTTAGGTATACGTGTACAGTTCAAATGGAGAAAAGAAATATTTTACAAAATAAATAATTTTGATGTTCATAGTACGAAGAAGTGAAAAATTATAGTAATACCAAACACTTATCAAAGCTGGTATATAGACCAGATATAACCCTGAATAAGTAAACATTAAAGAAAATAACAAAAAAGCATTACAGTTAGTATCAACAGGTCAAATAAACAAGAAAGTACGATTTGAGAGTACTCGCAGTTACTGGCAGCTAGTTAATAGCCAAAAAACAATTAATAATAAAAAATCATGCATCAGAGACTAAAATCGACTAAAACACATCCCAGGGATTTAGTATTTTAACGTCATGGACATTCAAAGAAGACATGACTTGTGCAATGCCAAAAATAAATGTATCGACAGGCAATATGATAGTTAGGAGTTAACCTCTTTATAGATCAAAATGAACGTGGGTGTGTCTTTATACATCCAGTTTGAAAAGAATACAAATTTAGTTATGTTTTAATTTGCTGATGACAAAATCGATATTAGTGCCAATGTTAACTATATTCAAAGATCTAATCACAACATTGGTAAGATAACATTTACTAATAAGTTTGTTTAAAGGTTCGATGAGTTTACACGGATCACATAGTGATTTCCGCACTTTAAGTACAATATTACCGTAAAATTTAGGATGTGAAATACCGTTTTTAATCAGTTTTCTACAGGTACAGCCAAATTTACTAATCAAATCTTTGTATCTATGAAAGAATTTAGTAAAAGTTTTACGTAATTTATGGTAACGAAATCCCTGACTTAATAATTCACCAGTGATGCATTGATTACGTTCGTTAAAATCTATGACATCACTACACACACGGGCATAACGAACGAGTTGGGATATATAAACACCGTATGATGGAGCCAAAGGAACATCGCCGTCTAAAAAAGGAAAATTAACAATAGGGTATGAAAAGTCGTCTCTTTTGTCGTAAATTTTAGTATGGAGTTTTCCTTTAGAGATTGAAATGTCCAAATCTAGAAAAGGACAACTACTGCTGTTTATGTTAGATTTAGTTAAAGTAAGTTCTTTTGCGTAAATTTCGGTAGTATATTTTGAGAACTCTGGATTATTTAACGAAAAAATATCATCAAGATAACGGAAGGTATTGTTGAATGTATCAACCAAATGTAACAATGACGTGTCTTTACTGAGTTTGGTCATAAACTGAGATTCATAGCAATACAGGAATAAATCTGCTATTAAAGGGGCACAGTTAGTGCCCATAGGAATACCTACTACTTGTCGATACACTTTATCGCCGAAACGTACATATATGTTGTCCAGGAGAAAATTTAAAGCTTCAATCATATCCTCACATTTCCAGTAAGTGTATCTAGCATACTTTCCTTTTTAGTTACAGAAAAAGGCTTTAAACTGTGACGAGTTACAGCAAATAAATTTGTAATGAGATTTTTCAAAAGACCATTTAATTAAATATGAAAACTTTTTCTTGATATTAAGATTGTGTGGAAGTGTAGTATAGAGAGTATAAAAATCATAACTGTCAACAGAATTAAAAGGACCATCAAAAGCATGTATTTTATCTAAAACCTCTAAAGAATTTTTAACACTCCAAAAATAATTAATACCATTATTTTCATAAGCTTTATTACAAAAGTTAATAACAAGTTCTTTGATAGCAGTAAGGGAGGTAGTTAGAAGCACTGAAATTAAAAGTTACTTTACATACACTTTAAAAAGAAGTCTCTAAAAATATCTTTTTAAAAATATAATACATGAAAAAGCATGCATATTAAAATTTATATTCTAATTAAAAATAGAAATAAAAATATCCCATCAGTTTTGAAATCAAAAGTAGTTTCAACAACCTCAAAATGGTTCACAAGTGTTACAAAACCAGTGCCTTGCTTTTTGTGCATTTTTTAGTGGGCCCAAGAAACCAAGATGCCACCACTGCAGACGTGAACTGCCGTTGCATAACATTTGTTTTTTTTGCGTCTGCATCACTTTCGCAAACTGAATTGCAGATATATAAAACTGTGAATGGAAATGGGGAATATGTCAAAGAGACAACAACCCGACCAAAGAGCAGACAACATTACATTAAAGTTTGATAGAATAAATGCTTTAATAGATTGCCATGCATCGTCTGTACAATCATTGAACATGAATGATAAGACAGGCAAAATAGCCACTGCCATATCTTAAAGATCTTTGACTTATTTTTCATTCCTGGGATTAAACATTTGCATGATATTTGTAAATATAACCATATAGACATATTATCTGTCTCTGATATAATTTTACTACGGAATGGAGGTACACACTGAATGAAGTTGTAACTATATATGCCTGTCTATAATGCTATGATCAGGAAATAAAGTAGTGCAAATTTGATTCTTTTGCATATAAGACATATAACTTTAACTCTTTTTTTAAAATTTAATCGGCGTTCTACAACATGTATACGATTTTAGTCCTGAGCCGAATCTAATTTCAGGATAAAATCTGTCTTTTATCAAAACCAGTTATTCATGAAACGGCCATGTTACTTGTGTGGGGAGTGAAGTTGTACACATAAACACTATATTTTATTGTTAAAGCTCTTCTAAAATTTAAATACACAGGCCAACATTCTAAATTTAAGCTTTACCAAAACAGCGTTGCATATGGCCGAAAACATTGATGCCGGTGTTGATTTGCATCTTAGAAAACCCACCAACTGTCAAGTCTGACAGGAAAGTCCAGCTCAACAAGATGTAAAGATTATGTAATTTTAGTAATAAATATCAGAAAATTTTAAGGTAATTAACAAATTTCGGAAGAATATTCTCGATTAGTATTCATTTCTATATCTGTTTAAGGTGTTATGAAAACCTGTTCTTAAGGGTACAATAGGCATAGTCCCACTGTGACTGATGGTACTGATGCACCCTGCCCTTGCTGATCATACAGAACAGTTGCTATAAACCATAGCTGTTATGTCCATATGATATTTTTAGACAATATGCAGACTATGATCAACAAATTGTCATAATATATAAAGACCTAAGAGTTACGGTTCCGTAGCTAAATGAACAAGACATCAAGAGTCTTAACTACTTATCAAGAATCAAGACAAAATCAGCATCTTTTTAAGCTACTTTGTTTATATTCTACTGTTGAACTTTCAGACCTTGTTAATACTATGGCGTGATACTAATGTAGGGTTTCTTTGCTTTAATACATGTCTTCCATCTGAAAATTTTGTATAATTATTTGTTTTCTTAAAAGTTTTTTGGAGATGTATGTGTTTATGGCAGATCCTGTTATCAAACATGTTTCACCATGCATGCAACAGTTTGTATTTTAATGTATACTGGTATATTTTTTCTACACACAGGCCTCTACAATAACTTTTTTTCCAACTTGTCCAGTAGGACAAGTACATACCAAAACTTACTTGTCCGAATGAAATTGTAACTTGTCCAACAAAAATCTTAATAATAATCTTTTTTGCATTTTAAGTTGATTCAAGGAACAAAATGAATTAAAACAATAGAACAGAATTTGATTTATTACTTTTGAAATACCTTTTAAAAATATGAGTCGAGAACAACTGAATCTAGTCATGTCATAGGACTTATGTTCTAGTTTTCATCAATGCCAAAGTCTCATCAGACTCTACACATGAGGCACCGTCTGATAGGCCTGTCAATTTCCACTCATTGGATTTGTATCCTGGTTTTTTAAGTTGAAAAAAGTTTCTTCAAATTCAATCAATAAAAAAAAAGAAGATGAGGTATGATTGCCAATGAGACAACTCTCTGCAAGAGACCAAATGACAAAGAAATTAATAACTATAGGTCACCGTATTGCAAGTATTGTTTTTTTCTTCTATATATGATCAAATATGATTTGGGAATTTTATGGTAAATAATTTCTTCATTTTTATTTAAAAAATATTTTTGTTAAAAAAAAATACGGTATGGTATTTATTATAAAGCAACAGAATAAGGTAGGAAAACGAGGTACTGATTTGTCTTGGTCCCGAAATGTCTCCTGCGTTGCCAAACTGTCTATTAATCATGTCTATTAAATATGTCTCCTACGGTGCCAAATTGTCTATTAAACTTGGAGCCGAATCGTTTCCGAGCTGGTGACGAACTGTCTTGTAAAGTTACCTTATCTACAAAGCGCATCGCTGATTCGGATCAGTAAGACTGGTTTCCGAGAATAGTACATGTATGCCTTTCACTTGTTAAAAAGTACCTGACAAAGAACCAGTTTTAAATTATCGATTGCAAGTAAACATGTCAAATTAATACTTGTGTTTATCTTCTTTTCTTGTTTTTTGTTTATAATTACTTTGTTCATCAAAGTTGGATTAAATTTATTTTCTGCATAATAATTTAACTTGTCCCGTCGGACAAGCTTGATATAGCTTTTACTTGTCCGACCTTTTTTTCCTCTGGTACCGGACAATCGGACAAGCGTTATTGTCGAGCCCTGACACATATACTCATGGAGTTAATTTATCTTAAGTAAATTATAAAATACATGTACAGTTTTTGTACATGTAACACAAATATTCTATTCATTTCAACTAACAACTGAATTCAATAAAAAAAAAAAAAAACTGTAAATAGACACCAACAGCACTAGATTAATCTTTTAATTGCTTAGAAGAAGCTCGCATAAAAAAAAAAAAAATATTGTCTATTATGTATATATTGCTTGTATACAAATAATTGCCACACAGGTTAATTCAATTATCAACTAATCCAATCAATAAACTTATCAATTAGTTTGTATTGGAATGTACATGTGGCAATGAATAACTGGCAATACACATGGTATTTGAAATGAAATATTCAATGTTCGATCATTAAAAAACTGCTTATATTTCTTTATCTCATAAAATCATTTACATTTTATTCCAGACAAGACCAAAACCATCAACATGATAAACAAGTTCAGATAAAATAATTATCACTATAATGTTTATTAATTCATCCTTAGAATTGTAAGGATCAAACAATAACCCAGGCTGCAAACACAAGCTTTACATTTTTGATCTTCATTGAGAAATTATCAAAACTCATAATAAATCACTATAAACTCCAACATAATCAAACTTTTTCATATTACTATCAACTTTCTTGTTTTTATTAAATCGTTTTTAATTGAAAATTTCTTCTTAACTTTTAATGATGACAGGAAAATAAAGAAAAAGAGGTGCTGATTTGTTTTTTGTCCGAAATGTCCTAATGACGAAATGTCTGGCAATGCCAAATTGTCTGGAACAGGGTGCAGAGAGTCCGGAGGCTAAAATTGATTATTTGTGCTGTTGATGCATACATGTATATTAACTTCCCAATCAGCTGTTTGTTTATATTTTCATTATTAAGTATAACCACTTCAACTATTCATCCTCTCAGATTTGGTTTGAATTTAGGACAGGTTTCTTTCTGTTGTTATCTAAATAACATTAAAGATAAGAGAATAGCTGATATAATTGTGCACTATCAAGATTCTATTAGCTAAGTCTAGAAGTGACACTTTCATTACAATAATACAGACAGAATTAAATTAGTAACCTAATATGCAAATCTTTATTTCTGAACCTTAAATCTGAAACAATGGTATATTTTGATTAAATCTGTATTCATAACACAGCCTTCAAATTTATGTAAAGGGTGCCCAAAAAAGTGTAGTTCTCCACACAAAGGATGCCTTAAAGTGTGGTTCTTCACGCAAAGGGTGCCCTAAACATGTAGTTCTCCACTCAAAGGGTGCCCTTAAAGTGTAGCCAATCACGCTAAGAGTGCCCTTTTTGAAAAGGTGCTGGAAACACTAACATAAGGTTTTTGCCTCTGGCTGATTGCATTATTTGTATGCAGCATTTACTGCAATCTTAATAGATTATCGCACATTTTTGTCCATTGTTCAAGTATTGCACACAAAGTTTTCTGAATTTACAGTATTTGAATGTTATTTGCATGATATTTAGGTCAGCATGTACCTTTAATATGTTTAGATTCTGATGTTAGTAGTGATCTGATGAAGAATTCAGTCTTTCTATTTGTCTTACCCCAACTTACTTTTCTCTCTATCCATGAGGAAAGTATAATTTGTGATCAGTATTTAGGAAACATGCATGTAAATGTCTGGTGCAAGGATCTGGAATTTTTCACACAATTTCAGTCATTTTGAGATGACTTAAAAGTTTGGGCCCTTTTTTCAAACAGCATGAACGATTTTATATTGACTTTTTCATTGCATTTACTTCATGAATTTTGTTACGTTCAAGGACAATTTATGGAATGCAACAGTTTAAAATTGGAATGATTTTAATGACTCAAAATGGTAAATTTCTCAGGAATCACTAATGCTTCTTTCAATTAAGAAGATGAAATAAAAACTAGAAGTATTGATCATCATGATCATGATACTAAAGTATGAGTAATTCTGGATTCATTCTAGGATTGATTCAATTTGTAAAATAATCTGAAATCATGTGATTTTTAATTCTATAACCATAATAACCTTTAAAAGTGTTTGAATATAACAGATAATAGTTGCACTTGTATAAATTAGCATAAAATCAATTTGCATTTTACAATTAAGTGTCTTATCTGTTGAAGACAATTTCATGCATGTCTATTACATAGTAAAAAAAGCTCATGTTTGATGCATGAACATTTACTTTTTATGCCACCGCCGTTGCGGAGGGGGCATTAAGTTTTACCCTTGTCCGTCCGTACATCCCAAAATTGGTTTCCGTTCTCTAACTTAAGTTTGCCTCAACCAAATGTTATGAAACTTATACACAATGCTTATTACCACAAAACACAGATCAAGTTTGAATTTTGGTGGTGTCACTTTTACCGTTCTAGAGTCATGCCCCATTACAAATAAAAAAAAATCGCTGAATTTTTCGTTTTTGTTTTCTAACTTAGTTTGCTTCAAAAAAATGTTATGAATCTTATACACAAGGATTTGACCGTTTGATCCTTGGTCTGGTGTACCACAGGAACAAAAAATGTAAATCTGATTTTTCTCAAAGTATTTAGAATCTAATTTACCGGTAACAAGATTGATGTGCAAGTCTTGGGTAAGGGGTAGATTATTTATTAGTCCCCTTTTATTAGACGAAGTCGAAGGGGACTTAAGGTTTGCACTTCGTCCATCTGTCTGTCTGTCTGTCAGTCTGGCAAATCAGTTTTCCACACTTTTTTTCTTGGTGCTTGAAGATATTGATTTGATATTTGGTGTATTGTTTTATCATGAAAAGTTACAGATCAAGTTCAAATTTTGTTTCGGTCTGATGATTTTGTACAGAGTTTTGGTCCTTGGACTTAAAAAATTCACTCAAATAATCAAATTTCCACACTTTTTTCGTCATGCTTGAAGATATTCATAATTGATTCGATAATTGGTATATAGTTTTATCATGGCAATTTACAGATCAAGTTCGAGTTTTGTTCCGTTCTGATGATTTTGAGCAGAGTTATGGTCCTTGGACTTAAAAAATTCAGTCAAATAATCAGTTTTCTGCACTTTTTTCGTCATGCTTGAAGATATTGATTTGATAATTGGTATTTTATCATGACAAGTTACAGATCAAGTTCAAATTTTGTTCCGGTCTGATGTTTTTGTGCAGAGTTAAGGTCCTTGGACTTAGAAAATTCACTTAATCAGTTTTCAACACTTTTTTTTGGTCATGCTTGAAGATATTGACTTGACATTTGTGCTTTAGTTTACCCAATGACAAGTTATAGATCAAATTAGCATTTTGTTATAATACAATGAATTTTTAACCGGTAGGGGACTATGTATTGCCAGGCAATACTCTCAGAATGCTTGTTTACCTTAAGCTTAAGGTTCTTTTTTCATTTTTGATTTCTATTAAATCTTATTTCAAGGTCAGTTTCGACACACAAAAACATTTTTTGATTTTAAGGGTTGTCATGATTCTTTTAATTTTCTCTAGAGAAAAGTTAAGTAAAAAACATCCACATATTCATATTTATGATCTTAAGGGTCTATGTTTTAAATTTCTGAGTTAAATTGAAATATTTTAGTGATTTAAGGAAAGTCTGAAATAATTTCTATTAACCTGTGAAATATTTAGATAAAATTCATAATATCTGAAAGCATGTTAGCGCTGTTTGTAAATATAATTTATGTTGTTCAATGTTTTGCTCTGTTTGATTTTATCAATGCATGATTTTAAGTGAATTTGTTAATTTTCAGATTTTAATTTGCATGTAGCATGGAGTCGTCAAAAGGTTCATCAGAAGCTGTTTCAGAAGACACTTGGTAAATAACTTTATGTATTTAACATTATGCATTTAACATTTCAAAATTCAGGTCATTGCCTCTCATGGGGAATATCCCCATAAATCGGGTTAGTTGGCAGGTCTGCTTATTCATTGCTTAACCTTAAGTTCCCTATTTGCAAATTGACATGATTCAAAGCATTTTGAAAACAAAACTTTACGACAAAAGAGATGATTTCAGCTTCCCAATAGTGAACTTTCCATTTCTATGTAGCAACATTCCAGCAGAGCCTGCATACAGAGTATATACATGTATCTCCCAGTTGATAGGATATTCCAGGGCTTGTATTTCCTATCATGATTTCCTTGATAGAGGGTTGCTGCTCACAAGGAAGCTATTAAACCAAGAGTTTCCAAGTGGTGAAGTTGAAATCATCCCTTCGTAAATTTTACGAATGCCATTACGAGTTGGTTGACTATTATGGAATATCCTTTTCACAGATCATAGCGGATATGTTTCAAATGTTGTATCTACAATTATGTCCCCTTTTTATATGACCGTCAAAAAATTTTGCGGTCGTATATTGGTAGGACGTTGGCGTCGTTGTCGTTGTCCGAAGACACATCGGTTTTTGCACTCTAACTTTAGTTTAAGTGAATGGATCTCTATGAAATTTTACCATAAGGTTCAATACCACATAAGGAAGGTTGGGATTGATTTTGGGGGTTATTGTACCAACAGTTAAGGAATTAGGGGCCAAAAAGGGGCAAAAAATAAGCATTTTTGTAACTTCCAGACATAACTTATGTGTAAGTATATGGATCTCTCTGACATTGTACCACAAGGTTCCATATCACAAAGAGAATGCTGGGATTGATTTTGGGGGTAATTGCCTCCAAATTTTAGGAATTAGGGGCAAAAAAGGGGCAAAAAACAAGCATTTTTCTAGTTTCATGACAATAACTCGTGTGTAAGTGTATGGATCTTTATGAAATTGTACTACAAGGTTCCATATCACAAAGGGAAAGCTGGAATTGAGTTTGGGTGTAATTGCTCAAAACGTTTAGGAATAAGGGGCCAAAAATAAGCATTTTTCTAGTTTCCAGACAATAACGTGTTCAAGTGTATGGATCTCTCTGAAATTGTACTACAAGGTACCATACCACAAAGGGAAGGCTGGGATTGATTTTGGGGGTAATTGCCTCAAAATTTTAGGAATTAGGGGCCAAAAAGGGGCAAAAAACAAGCATTTTTCTAGTTTCAGGACAATAACTTGTGTGTAAGTGTATGGATCTTTATGAAATTGTACTACAAGGTTCCATATCACAAAGGGAAAGCTGGGTTTGAGTTTGGGGGTAATTGCCCTAAATGTTTTGGAATATTGGGCCAAAAAGGGGCCAAAAAACAAGCATTTTTCTAGTTTCCAGACAATGACTTGTGTTCAAGTGTATGGATCTCTCTGAAATTGTACTGCAAGGTACCATACCACAAAGGGAAGGCTGGGATTGAGTTTGGGGGTGATGAATCATAAGGGGGTTCAAAAAATTTGGGGGGGGGCGGGGTTTTTTTTTTCCCTTTTTTTTCTTTAAAATGTTTCCATTTTAAATTGGTTATTTCTGATTTATATATAAAAGCAAATAATAATGATATGGTTTGAATAGGTAAATTAAAGTTTTTTTTAAGTTTTTGGACCACATTCATTCTGTGTCAGAAACCTATGCTGTGTCAAATATTTATTCACAATCCAAATTCAGAGCTGTATCAAGCTTGAATGTTGTGTCCATACTTGCCCCAACTGTTCAGGGTACTACCTCTGCGGTCGTATCAAGCTGTGCCCAGCGGAGCATTTTATTTTATAATGAATTTCTTTTTATTTGCACATGAACACATTTATCAAGTTCTAATTAATTAGTTACAATTATCAGAAATTTGGTTGAAACAATAAACTAAAATTGCATAACTCTTACCTGAGCATATTCTGCAATAATTTATTTCTTTGTTCTCCATATTATATTGCTATTTAACAATAAATGGAAATACGTGTATCTCAGCATTAGGTATTTGTACATTAAAATTTGAATACAGGAAATGTATTTTTTTCTAAATGAAGAATGAACAACAATTTAGATAAAAAATAGTTGTTATGAATTTTTGTTGTTGAGAAAGTGCATTACCAAGGCCTCTTTCTGGAAATTATTAAGCCAATTATTATTAATGGCATATAAAAAGATATATCACTTGTTTGACAATTTCCCTTTCCATTCTTGTCAAAACCATTAAATTGAAATATTTATAAAAAAAAAATCTGACAGTGTTTAAAATTGAAATATCAATATAAATATTTGCATCAATATTGCAAAATTCCCTATCATATGACAATAACATAAAACATTTACAGTAAGATTATGAAAGGAGGAAAAAAATATTGAAAAAAGAATAGTCAGAAAGAATATCAGACTAGCTATCAATATGGCTGGATCACAACATCGACAATGCTTTGATTGGTTGGGTTTGTGCTGCTCAGTCTTTAGTTTTCTATGTTGTGTTGTTTGTCTGTTGATCTGTTGGTCTTTTTCTTTTTTAGCCATTGCGTCAGTTTATTTTTGACTTATGAGTTTGAATGTCCCATTATTATCTTTCGCCTCTCTTTTGTTCTACTCTGTCACATAATTTGATTCTTTCTTTCTTTGGAGGGGGCGGGGGTTCTTATTGTTTGACTTTTTGTCTAATTGACATCTTGCCATCTTGCCTACGTAAGATCAATCACAAGGCAGATAATCAAGATGATAGAAATACACATCATCGATTAGAATTTTACCAAAATTAGATTTCTACCAAACTTTTAAAGTGAGCAGCCGGACAGGTCAGAGAAGACTCTACTCACTAGAGTAGAAATAGCTTATACTTCTACAGAATATGTTTTTTTGTCTCGTTTTAGTATGGCACATGTTTGCCAATTGTTGCCTCCTAAGTTTTCTAAAGAATGTGCAGAGATATTATAACAGGATTGTCTGTCCACAATTAATAATTGCTTGTTCATTCTATTGCAGTTTCCACCATAGCGGGGTTAACTTTTATAAAGTAATCACTATGTCTGTCCAATAATGTTGTTAAGATTGGAATAACAAACATGCATTTTTGATCTTACTACTACATGTTTTATATATGCTTGGTTCTTTATTAATATCTTTGTTTTTCAGAATTATTCCAATAATTACCCAAAATAAATAATCATTAGAGAGGATAACAAACTACAGTTTGCATACTAACTGCAGTTTGTTATCCTCAATTTCAATTGAGTTTTGCCAAAATTTGCAGCTTGTGAGTCAAGGCTTCAGTGGGTTCAGAACTGACAAAACAAAAATGACTGATGCTTGCAATTGTATTACAGATTGCTCAGGGTTGCAGCCCCTGGCATAAGAGGGGTTTTAATACTATCGGATGAAAAAACAAATGTCAAAAATGTAAATAAAAATGAATGAAATATTACCATTTTTGAAAGTCTTATAAAAAGAGGTAATTGATCAGGAGGAGCGTTCAGACAATTCCATAAAGAGTGTTATCTTCAGGTGGGTTAATGATTTCAATCTTCTTTTGATGATTGTTGTAATGAAATTTCTGTTTCTCTGTTAGTGTTGGTCATTTTTAGGCACACAGGTCCTGGCTTTAGAATTTCTCATCAAGATATAGAATCTGGAGCAAAATTTTGCAAATATTTTGTTCCATTTTTCCTTATTATACTAAAGCTATAATTTTATGGAACATATTTTTTGGTAGTTGATGGTTTCATACAATTTGGGGTTACAGTTCTGTAGACATCAATTACTTGGCAAAACTTTCATGGAATTTTATGAGACACATAAGCTTCTTTGTGATAAAAACAATATTGAAAGAAAATTTTATTTTTCGGTATTAAACTGATAATTGAAAAATCTTTGTGAGAAACTTCGTGATAATTAAAACTGGAATACTTTTGTCAAAAACTTTTAAGAAACTTCATGATAATCATGATATAGCATTATGGACATACTGTTGCCTGCTCTTTGGTCGGGTTGTTGTCTCTTTGACATATTCCCCATTTCCATTCTCAATTTTATACTGACATGACTGAGCAAAATTTAAATTTTTCTTAGTACAATTACATTTTCTGTGTTTTACTGTTAAAACAAGTTGACTTAGTGTTGACAGTCAAGGTAACACTTTTACACTGACAGCAGCATAGCAGGCAAGACACAGGTTTCTGTGGAACTATTTCCAAATTTTTATTATACCACTGAGAATGGAATTTTAAGCTTATAATGAGAAGTCACAAATCATTTATACTTCCACCCTTGCCATCTTTTAGATATGTTTTCTTGTCCTAAAAGTTCTGAAATATCTGCCACATGTAATAACCATCAATAATCTTTATACTCACAAAACTTTGTTTTAAACTTTAAACAATGTTTATAAATGGCCTTGAAATAATTTCATTTTGAATGAAATGTTATTCATTCTTGATAATAAATTTAGTTGAACCAAAGTCTGAACATTGTTGATTTTTGGAGGCTTAGAATGTCAGGATTGGGAATAAACTTTGTTGATTTTTGGAGGCTTAGAATGTCGGGATTGGGAATATTTCAGGACTGTGTACTGTTTTTATGGACTGATGTTTATCTTTATTTCCTTGGCCATGGTACTATGGTCACTGTTGTCTGTCGTTCTTTAACTATTGGTTCTTTGATTGTGATTGCCCCCTTATATGTATATTTTAATGACCCAAATCTTCACAGAAGAAATTTTATTAACAGTTGTTTGAATAAGTAATTGATTAGCTACGACTGCTATGTACATGTATAGTGTATGTACATTTTAGAATGATTTTATTCATTTACCAAAGGTCAGTGGTTCTCTCCGGGGACTGCTGCTTCCTCCATCAATGAAAACTGACTGCCATGTAATAGCGCAATCTATATAGTACTGAAAGTGGCATTAAATATAAATCAATCAATCAATTCATTTGCCAAGAATAACTGAATTTCAAGTATTCACATTAGAAA